GAAAAGCCGGGAGTTATAAAGCCAGACTGTCCGCCAGTTGGCTTTGGCTGGTCAAGAAAAACATAATCACATCAGAGGACCTTAGGACTGTCTTTTCTTCAAGATACTTGACCCATATCAAAGGTATCACAAAGGCAGATTTCATTAATACTCCGCCAGAAGATGAACCTGCCACTGAGATGTCTACTGACTCGACTTCACAGGGACATTAGCAGATGGTCTCTACATGTATCTTACAAGCTGGGCTTAGTTGCTTGAGTGGATAGTCACAGTAGTCACACAACCTTACTTGTAGTACTATCACATATTCCTACAACTTATCTCCTTTCAGATGGTTAGCAATATCACATATTCCTACAACTTATCTCCTTTCAGATGGTTAGCAATATCACACATTCCTACAACTTATCTCCTTTCAGATGGTTAGCAATTTCACACATTCCTACAACTTATCTCCTTTCAGATGGTTAGCAATATCACATATTCCTACAGCTTATCTCCTTTCAGGTGGTCAGCAATATCACATATTCCTACAACTTACCTTCTTCAGATGGTTAGCAATATCACATATTCCTACAGCTTATCTCCTTTCAGATGGTTAGCAATATCACATATTCCTACAGTATATCTCCTCACAAACTAATGAAAAAGGATTAACAGAGTTGCCTCTCTTGAATGAAACCATGCACTTGATAGCTGGTCAAGGTTGTTTATACTAGAAATCCAATTAAACATATTCCTCAAATTCTCAATAATTTCTGGTCATACTATATAACATATGTTACATTTGACCACTTGCTAAATGACATTGTGTATTTCATCCATTCAGATGGTTAGCAATATCACATATTCCTACAGCTTATCTCCTTTCAGATGGTTAGCAATATCACATATTCCTACAGCTTATCTCCATTCAGATTGTTAGCAATATCACACATTCCTACAGCTTATCTCCTTTCAGATGGTAAGCAATATCACATATTCCTACAACTTATCTCCTTTCAGATGGTTAGCAATATCACACATTCCTACAACTTATCTCTTTCAGATGGTTAGCAATATCACTGATTCCTGCAACTTATCTCCTTTCAGTTGGTTAGCAATATCACACATTCCTACAACTTATCTCCTTTCAGATGGTTAGCAATATCACTTATTCCTACTACTTATCTCCTTTCAGATGGTTAGCAATATCACTTATTCCTACTACTTATCTCCTTTCAGATGGTTAGCAATATCACTTATTCCTACTACTTATCTCCTTTCAGATGGTTAGCAATATCACTTATTCCTACTACTTATCTCCTTTTAGATGGTTAGCAATATCACTTATTCCTACAACTTATCTCCTTTCAGATGGTTAGTAATATCACCTACTTCCTTATCTCCTTTCAGATGGTTAGCAATATCACTTTCCTACTACTTATCTCCTTTTTAGATGGTTAGCAATATCACTTATTCCTACAACTTATCTCCTTTCAGATGGTTAGCAATATCACATATTCCTACAACTTATCTCCTTTCAGATGGTTAGCAATATCACTTATTCCTACAACTTATCTCCTTTCAGATGGTTAGCAATATCACATATTCCTACAACTTATCTCCTTTCAGATGGTTAGCAATATCACTTATTCCTACAACTTATCTCCTTTCAGATGGTTAGCAATATCACATATTCCTACAACTTATCTCCTTTCAGATGGTTAGCAATATCACTTATTCCTACAACTTATCTCCTTTCAGATGGTTAGCAATATCACTTATTCCAACAGCTTATCTCCCATATTCTTACGACTTATCTTGGTTGTGTGTTGACAGTTGTGTCATACCTACATTTGAAACAACTGATCTTGTAGATATTCTGTTCATTAACTGTAAATGTAATTTGAGAAAAATGGTATTTCAAATCATACCTCAATATTCTGAATAAGCCAGACAGAAGAAGGATGATGCGAGATACGAGAAGCCAGGTAAAAGAAAGATGTTGTCAGAGTGAGTATGTTTTTACACTGCTTTTAGCAATATTCCAGCAATATCACGGCGGGGGACACCAGAGATGGCCTTCACACACTGTACCCAAGTGGGGAATTGAGCACGTGTCTTCAGCGTGACGCACGAACACTTTAACCATTGGGCTACCCCACCACCCTGATGTCAGAGAAACACAGCACATTCAACGTTTCAACCAGATATAGTGGAACATTGTTGGATGTATAGTATTCCAGTCATATCGCAGCATGTAATGTGGGCAGAAACATGGTGGTGATGCAGGTGTCCGATACTTCCAACCAGGATCCACAACCCCAACCCCCCACCTCCTGTAACAATCATTTCAGGATTCTTCAGTACTCTTTAGTTTTTGCTGTGGCCATTTCACATTTTTAGAATGGCAACAGGGCACCCATGTTCAAGGGTAAACCTCACTGGCCAAAACTCAGTAGTTCACAGCTCATTTTGGATAAGAGGTATATGTAAAACAGCTGGATGTATGCGAAATCCACTCATCTCTCGAGATGTGAACTTGAGTGTGATGAACAAGCTAGTAGCCTTGTCTATCCTGAAAGATCGCCACTGGATTATATATAGATACTTAACTCTGAAACTAATCAGAACAAATGTGAAAATGAACAATTACAAATGCCTTTCAGCTTGAAAATCCTGAGAATGATTCAAAAGGTCAAAGAAAATGTACTTCCAGGAGCAATACCATTAACTTATGTTCATCAAGACAATACATATCTCATAGCGAATACATCAGTTAATTCTGGAGACTGTGATGATTCTAAAATGACAAAAACATTCAGTAAATAAACATGCCAGATGAGGACATGACAACTGTTGTTAAGGCTTTGACTAAATCATGTTTTGATCAAATTGACGATTGTTGAGGACAAATTATTTTGTTTGTACATTTTTCAATACGTGCATTTTAATTTACCTGCCATGACCATGTGCCTTTCAGCATACACACCACAAAACAATCTCAGCTGAAAAATAATTCTAGAATTTCTGGTTCAGATTATTTTCTGGAAAGAAATCCTGAAGATGAAATGGCCAGAACCACAGTAAAAAGATAAATCTGTGGTTGGACAAACACAGTTGAACCACTGTCATCAAAACAGACTTGGCACAAAGACATTTATTTCTCAGACTTGCCAACAAAGACATGAAAATGTGCACAAACCTTCAAAGAGCTATTTTCAGAGCCTATTTCATTTCCGTGAGGCATGTTGTCATCACACAAAATGAAGAGATGATTTTGAAATAGAACATGGATATAACTCTGAAAGAGGGCAATCATTCCATGGCCTTTTATACCACTGTTACGCATAGGCATGTAGAAGTAGTATGGCCTTTTATACCACTGTTACGTAGAGGCATGTAGAAACAGGATGGCCTTTTATACCACTGTTACACAGAGGCATGTAGAAGTAGTATGGCCTTTTATACCACTGTTATGTCCTTTATAATGCTGTTATGTTACCTAAAGGCATGTAGAAGTAGTATGGCCTTTTATACCACTGTTACGTAGAGGCATGTAGAAGTAGTATGGCCTTTTATACCACTGTTACACAGAGGCATGTAGAAGTAGTATGGCCTTTTATAATTACGTAGAGGCATGTAGAAGTAGTATGGCCTTTTATAATACTGTTACGTGAGGCATGTAGAAGCAGTGGCCTTTTGTTAGGCATGTAGAAGCAGTATGGCATGCCTTTAATACCACTGTTACGTAGAGGCATAGAAGCATGTAGAAGCAGTATGGCATGTAGAAGTAGTATGGCCTTTTATACCACTGTTACCTAGAGGCATGTAGAAGTAGTATGGCCTTTTATACCACTGTTACGTAGAGGCATGTAGAAGTAGTATGGCCTTTTATACCACTGTTACGTAGAGGCATGAAGAAGCAATATGGTCTTTTAGACAGAGGCATGAAGAAGCAATATGGTCTTTTAGACAGACAGACAGACAGAGTTTATTTCCAGTAAAAGGCCGTAGGCCCAAAATACATTCAAAAGGAAATTCCAGTGTAGTCAGGGGCACAATGATCATTCAAGTGTGTTTATAATGATCCTTTTAACATAAAATAGATACAAGGCAACAGATTTTACAGTGTCTACATTAGTATTTTTGAGAAGATTTGCTAAAGAATATACAGTGTAAGGCTTTTTAACACATTTTGTAATATACTGACTGACTGACTGAGTTTGGTTTTACGTCGCTTTTAGCAATATTCCAGCAACATCACGGCGGGGGACACCAGAAATGGGATTCACATTTTGTAATATACCTCTCTCTTAGTTGTGAATAGGATTCACAAATGAACAGTACATGAAATTCATCTTCAATATAGGTAAGACCTTTAGATTTACATGATGTACAAAATCTTTGATTATAATCAGTGTTGTTATAACGCCCAGTTTCTACAGCTATTTTAAAATTACTACACCTAAATTGTGCTAAAACAGCTCTTAAATGTGTAGAAAGGTTAAACGATAAATAACGTTCAACATTTAATGCAGATTTAAAATACTGGTAATAGTTGCATTTGGGGGAATTACTCAGGGAAGAGTACCAGGACTGTTTTAAATTATTTGATAATCTTTGTTTAATTAAGCTTATAAACATCTTTACATCACCAACATCTTGGCTCAACCATACATATCCAAAACCAAAATTAAAACGAAGACTTTTAACTTTTGATGCCCATGTTGTTCTACCACTATCATCTAATGACTTAAGCATAAGGTAACGTTGAAAAGGTAATCTGTCATGAGGAAGTTGTAACAATCTACACCAATATTTGATTACACGGGTCATATAATTAAACTGTAGGGGCATTCTGCCACATTCACCCAGGGCCATGGAATTACAAGTTGACCTATTTATTTTAAGACACTTTTTACAAACATCAAGCTGTACCGATTCAATACTTTTACAATAAGAAGTTCCCCATATTTCTGAGCCATAGCATGATATTGGTGTGATCAATGCATCATCAGCCAACATAAGGGCATACACGTTATTGAAAACAGCAGTGATAAATATTCCCTTACCACCTTCACTTTGTATAATTGTGCATAAATGATTAATAAATATTATAAATATCTGAGGGCTTAAAATGCATCCCTGGCGGGAACCCACATTACAAGAAAATTGTTTAGAAAGTCCCTCAGGGGTTCTAACACAGGCACAAAGTGAATTATACATACATGTGATAATATCTAAGAACTTCCCATCTAATCCAACCTTATGAAGAGAATCTATAAGTATATCATGTTTAAGAGTATCGAAAGCTTTTGAAAAATCGATAAAAAGACAATAAAATCTGCCGTTTTTTACATGAATATTTCTGTATGACAGCCTGAAGTGTAAAAATGTGGTCTGTTGTAGAACAGTTTTCCCTGAAGCCAGCCTGATATTCACAAATGATATTGTTTAAATCACACCAGATTTTTAATCTTTTATTAAGAATTGATGTAAATAATTTACAAAGGGAATCAATGAGGGATATACCACGCTAATTATCCGGGTCGTTCTTGTCGCCAGATTTTAACAAAGGGCAAATTATGCTCTTACCCCAACTGGGAGGGAAATAGCCAGTGAGAGTAGGGACAATGAAACTTCTCAACTCCTTTAGAAATTCATTAGCAATTCCTTCTGGACCAGGGGCTTTACTGTTTGGCAAAGAGAGGATTGTTGTAGATATTTCTTGTTCGGAAAATGGTTAGTTCAAAAAAGAATCAGTGTTGCTTGTAGATTGTAAAGGTGAAGGTAAATGTTCTGGTGTGTTTTGAGGAGTATTAATGCATAACAGATTTGAGGTCTTTTATACCACTATTATGTACATGCAAGAAAATGCAGTATGGCCATTTATACTACTGTCATGCACTGGCATGATGAAGCAGTATGGCCTTTTATACCACTGTCATGCACTGGCATGAAGAAGCAGTATGGCCTTTTATATCACTGTCATGCACTGGCATGAAGAAGCAGTATGGCCTTTTATATCACTGTCATGCACTGGTATGAAGAAGCAGTATGGCCTTTTATACCACTGTTATGAAGAAGCAGTATGGCCTTTTATACCACTGTCATGCACTGGCATGAAGAAGCACTATGGCCTTTTATACTATTGTCATGCACTGGCATGAAGAAGCAGTATGGCCTTTTATACTATTGTCATGCACTGGCATGAAGAAGCAGTATGGCCTTTTATACTACTGTCATGCACTGGCATGAAGAAGCAGTATGGCCTTTTATACCACTGTTATGAAGAAGAAGTATGGCCTTTTATACCACTGTCATGCACTGGCATGAAGAAGCAGTATGGCCTTTTATACCACTGTCATGCACTGGCATGAAGAAGCAGTATGGCCTTTTATACCACTGTCATGCACTGGCATGAAGAAGCAGTATGGCCTTTTATACTACTGTCATGCACTGGCATGAAGAAGCAGTATGGCCTTTTATACCACTGTCATGCACTGGCATGAAGAAGCAGTATGGCCTTTTATACCACTGTCATGCACTGGCATGAAGAAGCAGTATGGCCTTTTATACCACTGTCATGCACTGTTATGAAGAAGCAGTTTGGCCTTATATATTACTGTCATGCACTGGCATGAAGAAGCAGTATGGCCTTTTATACTACTGTCATGCACAGGCATGAAGAAGCAGTTTGGCCTTTTATACTACTGTCATGCACTGGCCTTTTATACTACTGCTCATGCACTGAAGAAGACAGTATGGCCTTTTATACCACTGTCATGCACTGGCATGAAGAAGCAGTGTGGCCTTTTATACCACTGTCATGCACTGGTATGAAGAAGCAGTATGGCCTTTTATACTACTGTCATGCACTGGTATGAAGAAGCAGTATGGCCTTTTATACTACTGTCATGCACTGGTATGAAGAAGCAGTTTGGCCTTTTATACCACTGTCATGCACTGGCATGAAGAAGCAGTATGGCCTTTTATACCACTGTCATGCACTGGTATGAAGAAGCAGTATGGCCTTTTATACCACTGTCATGCACTGGCATGAAGAAGCAGTATGGCCTTTTATACTACTGTCATGCACTGGCATGAAGAAGCAGTATGGCCTTTTATACTACTGTCATGCACTGGAATGAAGAAGCAGTATGGCCTTTTATACCACTGTCATGCACTGGTATGAAGAAGCAGTATGGCCTTTTATACTACTGTCATGCACTGGCATGAAGAAGCAGTATGGCCTTCTATACTACTGTCATGCACTGGCATGAAGAAGCCGTTTGGCCTTATATATTACTGTCATGCACATGTAAAAAGAGGCAGAAAGACTCGGGACATGCCCAAACAGATCCTCATAGCCAGGCAGATCAGCAAATGGATGCCCAACCCATCTGTGGAAACACCGACAGTGTTAATGGCTTCTTGGAGTTAATGTCTTCTCAAACAAAAACCCTACAAAATCCATAAGATTTTCTTTTGCAGAACTACAGTGTAAAGAAATGCTATTCAGGGGATGAAAATCAAATTGCGATGTCGTCAATACTTCTTTCAACATACACAGGAGTAATGGTCCATCCACAGGACACAGATATAGCGTCAGTCGTGGAATACTGTTTACCGTTGCTTTCATGATTATTGTACTTGTGTAGTGATGTGTAAGGTAGGGGGGGGGGGGAGTTTGGGGGTTGTGTGTCCTTGAATAACTTTTTACTAGGGTTGACTAAAATGATCGATTATCGGAAATATTGTCAATAGGAAACATTATTAATGATTATTAATATGTTAACTGTGTTATCAATATCATCATACATCAAATTTTGTGATAAAATAAGGTGTTAATTTTCTCACATGATATACAAATTTAGATCTTTATTCATGGTCTGCTTCTAAATTATGTTCAGGATGCTGTTTTGCTAGTAGTCCATGCAAAACATCACCACTCATTAGTGAAGTGAAATATGTTCATTTCTTTAAGACATTTTGGCTAAAAGTTATGTCTCCGATATTTGTCTATAATCAATCCATATTCAGTTAACAATTATCAGTCTCTATGATCTATGTTGATAGCCAGCTCTAACTGTTACAGTTCCCGTACAATGAGGTACCATGATGGCGACACTGTTTAACATGTCAGGGACAGTACAGATACCAATGGCCAACTGGTGTTTCATCCGCTAACATCTTGAGCTACCAGGGAGACTGACCAACTGACTGAGTTTGGTTTTACGCCGCTCTTAGCAATATTCCAGCAACATCACGGCGGGGGACACCAGAAATGGGCTTCACACATTGTACCCATGTGGGGATTCGAACCCAGGACTTCGGCGTGACGAGCCAACGCTTTAACCATTAGGCTACCCCACAGCCCCAGCTACCAGGGAGAAGAATGAGTACCATCTATTAACAGTCTTGGGTACGACACATCCATGGGATTGAACTGCAAAACTCCACCAGACAGCAGCTATTTCATCAGTTTTGGGTATTTATTAGAACTGACTCACAGCATGTGTTCTGTTCACTGGTGACCTGATGGACAAGGTGATGAACCTGCTGTGAAGAGTTTCCTCCCTTAGATGTGTCAGGACCAACACCAAGCAACAACAAACATGCACTATTCTGTAAGAGATGTTTGCCACAATTTATTACTTCAAACATAAATATTGAAACTAACATACTTATCACAGAGACCACATATCGACCCTTGGTGTATGGTATCTGCTTATCATCAGGAAGTTGTCCCCAAAAGGATCACCAAGCTCAGGATGGAACAGTTTCTCGTGTGGTTTGTTTGTGGAAATGGTGAGATGGGATTATGGTCATAATCTTCCACACGTTCTCTCTGAGAGCAAGAACTGAACAACTTAATTTTGTTCACAACACAGTTTGTCCAGAACAAGCAACCTGTGCATTGTTAGCATCAATCTAGATCAAGTCCTCAAGGAGCAACAGTCAAAAGCAACACTGACACAACCGATTGATCACATACAATCTAGTCTGACCACCAATGGATACTGGTCATTCCTTATATGGTTGCGGATGGGGTCAGAGGAAATGGTGTCACACAAAAATGGTTCTTCAGGAGATATTATAATCTAAAATCTTTTCACATTTTGCGTTTTCAGAGGTCATGAGAAGTTGACAAGGGTGCCGTTGTACAAAGTGATCTTAGTGCTAAGGTGACAGAAACTCCTTAACATAGACTTAAGGTAGTCTTAGCACTAAGGTGACAGAAACTCCTTAACATAGACTTAAGGTAGTCTTAGCACTAAGGTGACAGAAACTCCTTAACATAGACTTAAGGTAGTCTTAGTGCTAAGGTGACAGAAACTCCTTAACATAGACTTAAGGTAGTCTTAGCACTAAGGTGACAGAAACTCCTTAACATAGACTTAAGGTAGTCTTAGCACTAAGGTGACAGAAATTCCTTAACATAGACTTAGGTAGCCTTAGCACTAAGGTAGTTTTGTACAAGAGCACCGTGGAAAAGAGGAAGGGTCAATACTCTTTGTACATTGAGTCCATTCTCTGAACTCCCTCTCCTATTACAAATAACCTTTCACATAATCCTATCAAACATTTCTTGGACTTTCTGAAAACATGCCTGAACAGAACTTATGCATCATCATGTTCAGCGAGGCGAACGGTTCATGCATTGGTTTAGAGATGGTGCAAACTTGGCCAAGGAGAGAAGACCTTTGTCTAACATGTTCACAGATGATGAAGCCTTCGACTATACAGATGACAACTTCATGTTTATTGCAAGCAAGCTTGGACTTTTCTACACCGAACCATCACTATGAATAAACATTAAGAATCTACACTACACGAACTTATGCAATAAACATTAAGAATGTCACTATGTGCAATAAACATTAAGAATCTACACCCGAACCATCACTATATGCAATAAACATTAAGAATCTACATCGAACCATCACTATGTGCAATAAACATTAAAGAATAAGAATCTACATCTATGTGCAATAAACATTAAGAATCTACACCCATCACTATATGAACCATCACTATATGCAATAAACATTAAGAATCTACACTGAACCATCCTATATGCAATAAACATTAAGAATAAGACCATCACTATATGCAATAAACATTAGCAATAAACATTAAGAATCTACGAACCAACCATCTATTATTGCAATAAACATACTATATGTGCAATAAACATTAAAATCTACACGAACCATCACTATATGCAATAAACATTGGAATTAAACATTATCAACAATAAACATTAAGAATATAGAAGCATTAAGAATCTACACCGAACCATCACTATGTGCAATAAACATTAAGAATCTACAGCGAACCATCACTATGTGCAATAAACATTAAGAATCTACACCTACATCGAACCATCACTATGTGAATAAACATTAAGAATCTACACGAACCATCACTATGTGCAATAAACATTAAGAATCTACACCGAACCATCACTATATGCAATAAACATTAAGAATCTACACGAACCATCACTATATGCAATAAACATTAAGAATCTACACCGAACCATCACTATATGCAATAAACATTAAGAATCTACGAACCATCACTATATGCAATAAACATTAAGAATCTACACGAACCATTACTATATGCAATAAACATTAAGAATCATTAAGAATCTACGAACCATCACTATATATGCAATAAACATTAAGAATCTACACGAACCATCACTATGTGCAATAAACATTAAGAATCTACGAACCATCACTATATGCAATAAACATTAAGAATCTCTACGCGAACCATCACTATATGCAATAAACATTAAAGAATCTACACCGAACCATCACTATATGCAATAAACATTAAGAATCTACACCGAACCATCACCATCACTATATGCAATAAACATTAAGAATCTACACCGAACCATCACTATATGCAATAAACATTAAGAATCTACACCGAACCATCACTATATGCAATAAACATTAAGAATCTACACCGAACCATCACTATATGCAATAAACATTAAGAATCTACACCGAACCATCACTATGTGCAATAAACATTAAGAATCTACACCGAACCATCACTATGTGCAATAAACATTAAGAATCTACACCGAACCAACCATCACTATGTGCAATAAACATTAAGAATCTACACCGAACCATCACTATATGCAATAAACATTAAGAATCTACACCTAACCATCACTATATGCAATAAAATCATTAAGAATCTACGCGACCATCACTATATGCAATAATAAACATTAAGAATCTATTATGTGCAATGCAGAATCTACACCAAACCATCACTATGTGCAATAAACATTAAGAATCTACACCGAACCATCACTATATGCAATAAACATTAAGAATCTACACCGAACCATCACTATATGCAATAAACATTAAGAATCTACACCGAACCATTACTATATGCAATAAACATTAAACATTACCATCACTATGCAATGCAATCTACACACGAACCATCACTATGTGCAATAAACATTAAGAATCTACACCGAACCATCACTATATGCAATAAAGATTAAGAATCTACACCGAACCATTACTATATGCAATAAACATTAAGAATCTACACCGAACCATCACTATATGCAATAAACATTAAGATGTTATCCATAAAGACGTATGCTTCATTATTGTCTCACTAACTTCTAGAAATACCGATAAAACAATGTTCACAGACAGGTTAAAGTGGAATATGATGCTACAATCTGTCTCCAACAAAAACAATGAAAATGCAAGACTGTAGTTTGCTGCACATATTCATGCTGTCACATCTCTATAAAACTGTTCAAACCTGCTCATTCAAAGAGTCCAATGTTCAGTCATTAGTATGATTTAAAAATGTAGATCTTGTATTTTTGTTGGGAAACAGAACTTTTAACATTTTTTGTAGGAAATGTGGACCCTCATTACCTCTGTATTTTCTTGTAAGATAGCTATAGAGCCAACAGTTGCTATCTTTAACTTTGATCATGGAGGGAAAAACGGTAGTTAGTAGGTGGCCTGGAGCTACGTCGCAACACGATAAGGAGGGCAATGGTGAATTACTGCCCTCTCTCTCTGGGAGCTACTGCAGCTAACACAGGTTACAACTTATCAAATTGCGGCTGAAAATTGGATTTTGCTCTTACAGTCACAAACTTAAAAGAAAAAAGACAACAAGATTAGGTGTTCACATATATAGTTGTGGGCTCTTGAGGGCATGTTGACTGCACCAGTGAAGAGGAGACTGGCCGTTTACGAGGACAATGAAGGTGGGGAACCAAAGAGAGGCTGTGTCCTCGGTCAGGTGGAGGAAGGTCAGCTGAGGTCGGCAGGGTGAAGTTCCTGTGGCCGCTTGCCATCAAGGACCTGACTCTTCATACATCGATGCCATTATGCCACCTGACACTGTGGACTTTCTGAATATCATATTTAAAAAAATGAAACAAACAATCTGCCCAAAATACTGCAATACTTCTTATCACAGTGTATTGGATAGAGATACCACACAGACAGTCAGTTTACATGGTGTGGGATAAACACATTAGCTGTAGGTTCATATTACCGTTGTTGTCTTGAGATATCAGTCGGTTGATATACATGTGTGTATGTAATTGTTATTTCCATACTTTCCTCGGTGTATCAGCCCATACACCTACAGTTTTGCCCGTGAGGCCCTCCTCGAGGCCCCACGAGCAAAACTGTAGGTATGGAAAGTATGGAAATAAACTATTTACACCTCGAGTACTACAAGTAGTGTAATTTATGTCCAATATTATATATTTTCACAAAACATTTCCTTTTGGAGCCCCTATCTAAACAATGCGGCTGTTGTCGATATCAACAGCGTGGGCCTGTGCGTTGCCATGACATTGCACGTGAATCTCGCTTAGTAGTCCCACGCATTTCACACATTGTATTTGGGTAAACCATTTCAGAGAATGATTTTTAGTTTTGTGCTTTGGATGGAATCTAAACTTTGCAATATAACTTGTAGTCTTAACTTTAAGATGAGCGTTTCCATAAAAAATTCTTATCTTTAACTAGCTACAATTAAGGTTTGAAAAGTTTTCAACTG